CCTTCAGAAACAATTTAGTTTAAATAAACTGACCAGTTTTGGGAGTTGTCTCCTCCAAGTTCCTCTGGGAATTTTAGACACATGTCCCACAGAAGGATAGACCTGCTTTGGGAGTGAGAGGGATAAAATTAATGTGAGACTCTAAGATGTCAAGAACATGCTGATCTCTTTATTTAAACCTGCTTTCCAAGTTGCCTCTGCCTTCTCTCTGAATGTCCTCCCACCCTTTCTGAGAAAGTAAAAGCCAGGTGAGGGCCAGCTCAGCACTTCCCTTGTCAGGTCTGTCCTGTACCAGTGCCAAACACCAAAGCCTGACACTGGATTTTCTGATGCTGGGGGGAAGAAAAGAGCAGCCGGTGTCAGCTGCCAGCATTACATCTCTGTTCAGCAGCAGGGATTAAGATAGTGCCTGAAAAGAAGTCACTAAGACCCTGAGCTGACTTGCCCTCATATTAATTTAAATGCCAGTTAATTACACATGTCACATCAGCAGGGTAGGATTACTGCCCTGGAGAGCCTTTCTCCTAAGTGCTGCTGTGCTTCTCAAAGCACAGATGAAGAAGACAAGCTGACTTGAGCCTCTGCCCTAAAGATTTGTCTCTCGGCCTAGGGACAGCTACTATAGCAAAACCAAAATCCTGGCAGAAATACAGCAGTGTATGTAAGCATGAGCCTGCTGCTTTAGTTGCCCGCAGTGGACACTTGCTATTTTTTACTTAAAACTTTTCTGGGGAAAGGAAAATGAACACACCTGACAAGCTGACACACCTCAGAGTAGTCAAATGGAGCATCAAGAGCATCCTCTTAGCACCTGAGTGGAGATATTTATATGTACTAATAAGATCTCATCTCAGTCACCCCTAGACTAACAGGCCCAGCTCTTTCCCTGAGTGCTTTCATTGTTGTGACATTTGTTCTTTAATTATAGCCTCCAATAATGTGGATTTTTTCCATTGTACAGAATACCCACCTGAGTGGGTGTCCAGATTCCACATTGCAGGAGATTGGAGGACACGATTTCGAGGCTGCTGCCCACTTTCTGGTAGATAACAGAGGGAATGGAGCGAGGGGAGTGGGGAAGCTGCCAGCCAGGACTGTGCTCTGGAGGCAGAACTGGAGCAGTGCTAGTGCTGGTCATGGGGAGCCTGATGGCTGTGGAGCCAGTCACGGCTTGTTGTTGCCAACACACTCAGGAAAAGCAAGATGTGACAGGAAAAGGGGCCATGCAGAGCCAAAGCAGCACTCTTTTGAGACAAAAATCCTTGTTCTAGGACCACACAAATAAAAGGCAGCATTGGCATGGAAGTGGGTATGAAATGATGGCCAAAGGTTGATTTGTAGGAGGGACGAGACCACAGAAGGACCCAGGGCATCTCATCATCTGGATTTCCTGCTTTCCTTCCTTCCCTTCCCTTCCCTTCCCTTCCCTTCCCTTCCCTTCCCTTCCCTTCCCTTCCCTTCCCTTCCCTTCCTCTCTCCCTCCCTCCCTTCCTCTTTTATCCAAACCTTCCATGCACTCACAGCAGCAGCTCAGAGACTAACACACCAATTCCCATGGCAAGTCTCCAACTCACTAACAAAACGTCGTGATACCATTACTACTATGACACTTACTATTTCTATTATTGCTACTGCATCACTATTCCTGATGCTATCACCACTATTGCTACTACTATTACTATTAGCATTTTACTTCCTCTTGCGGACCTCGGCCGCCCCCTCCGCCCTCGGGGAGCGCTTCCCGAGCCTGTGTCGCTTCCTTCCCGTGGCGGAGTCACGTCACAGCCGGCGCTGCCCGGCGCGGCTCCGCCCGCGCGTTCCGGCGGAGCTCCCGCAGGTGGGTGCGGGACCGGCCGCACCCGACTGGGAGCGGCTGCGGCTCCTCGGGGCTCCGCTCCTCGGGGATCGCTTCCTCGCCATGCTCCCCCAGAAGGGATTCGGCCTTTCGGGATGCGGCTCCCCCGGGATGCGGCTCCCCCGGGATGCGGCTCCCGCGGGATGCGGCTCCCGGGAGATGCGGCTCCCGCGGGATGCGGCTCCCCCGGGATGCGGCTCCCGCGGGATGCGGCTCCCGCGGGATGCGGCTCCCGCGGGATGCGGCTCCCGGGAGATGCGGCTCCCGCGGGATGCGGCTCCCCCGGGATGCGGCTCCCCCGGGATGCGGCTCCCGCGGGATGCGGCTCCCGCGGGATGCGGCTCCCCGGTTCCTGCGGAGGGTCCGGTTACAGGTTTGCGAGTATCGGCATCGCCAGTCGGGCTGGCTCCTTGCGGGGGATAACGAGGAGGCCTCTGGATACACTGTACCCTGCTGGGCTCGCCGGTGGTGCTGGGGTGGCTTAGCTCAAAAGTTTCCAAATAGAAATGTTTGAAACTCTTACTGAGTAATGTATCTATAATGTACATAATTCGTACATACGCATATATATATATATATATATATAATATATATATATATTATATATATATATATATATATATATATTTATTTATTTATTTATTTATTTATATATATATATTATATATATACACATACATACATATATACATACACAATATATATAATTTATATAAATAATATTTAATTTTTATTTATTTTATATTTTATATTTTATATATTTATATTTATTTATACACATAATATGTTTTTATCTTTATTTTTCGCATATATACACACACAAGTGTGTATCTTACACTCACGTATTGTATGTAGATGCGTGCAAATATGTATCTTATAAGTAAATATTTATAATATATTTCATATTAATATCTATTTTATGCATTTATAGGCATATCTGTAGGTATATCTTTATATGTGCATATGTATGTATATATAATGCATACATATATTTATATATGTATAATGTAGAAATATGTATCTATAATTTATGTTAATATATGTGTATATTTGTATATACATATAGATTAACATCAATTTGTATACATACACATATCAATTTGTATACATGTATATGTACTCATACAAATACTTGTATATTTGTATGAATATGTATGTATAGGTATATATTTATATCTGTCTAATATTTATATACTTAAAACATACAAGCTGTACATATAAATAAAATATATACATACCACATAATAGACAAGGTCATTATATACATAATTAATATACAGTATCATTATATACATGTATAGCATAATATACAGTATCATTAATAAAATTTTTGTTACAATACACCAAAGCAATATTAAATGCTTTGGTGCATTGTATCAAATACAATTACAAATAATTACATATTAAAATGACCTTAATATGACCTATCTAAATATTAACATATATTAATATCAGCAATATCTTAATATTTTAATAATATTGCTATATTTGCTAATATTATAATGTTATAGGAAGCATCTAAGATATTAATATTTCATTAGATACATGGTTATATATAAAACGTATGCTGTGTTCTATGACATATGTTATCCTCTATTATGCTATTATTACTATTATCTTTTAAACTCAGTTAGAAACTTTACACTATGGTAGCAGTGTGTTGTTTTGTGCAGGCTCTGTATAGTATTCAGAACAGGACATTACAGCAACCTGTTGGGTGTAATTTAAATTATCTGGAATTTGGAGTGTGGCCCTGGAGCAGACTCTAGGATGCATGCTCCTGGAGGGATGACTGAACAAAATGTGTTACTCATTGGGATGGACTGACACTTCCATCTTTTCTGGGATGGAATGCAGTGTCTTTGTGGCATTTTCCCCAGGTTATTCTACTTTGGAGGGGAAAATGCATGGAAACATGCACTGATTGCATGGAAACATGCACTGATTGCATAACATCACCCCACAGATATAACTGGTATTGCTGATGATATCTTTGAATTTCGAGCTGTCGCAAGAACCCGATTCTCCCTGAAATTCTAGAGTTATGAGTATGTGCAGAAAGATTTTCTTGTATTTTGCAGGTCTCCTCTGAAAGCCTGGTGGGGTAAAAGCTGTGTGGGGATCTCCACAGCTGCAGGATTTGCTGTCCCCACTCACGGGGACTCCCTGTTCTGTGGCTGTGACTCCTATTTCCCTGCTCAGCATTTCCTTGGTAGGTAATCAAATGTAGACTACCAGAGAATTTAGTTTCCTTGATGGCCATAGCTGATTTTGAATGAGGAACAAGAGGAGATAGGTGTTTTTAAATGCCATTGACATGCATTGTGATATTTGCACCTACTTGCTCCCCACATTCTCTTTCAGATGTTACTTAAAAGATAAAGACTTCAAGAACAAAACCATCCATGCTTGTCTTTCCTTGATTGATGCTGAGATTAAGTTTATACAGATACTTACCTCATCTAAATAATGGATGGTTTTACTGTCACAACTTACTTTTCCTGCAGATGAGGATTTATTGGGTGATGGAAATCCTGTTAATGGGAATTGAGTCCAACTTGGCTTTGCAAAGTAGAGGATGGGCCAAGTCCAGACTGAAAAGAATAATTTGTTAAATATGTAGCATTGTGGTGTAGGGGAAGGTAAATTCTCAAGTTTTCAAGCATCCTTTTTTGCGTTTATGTATTCATTTTTTCCCCTGAAGCAAATCTCTATAATTGGGGGTTGCCTAGAGAAAGATCCAGAATAATGATATGAGAAGTTTTGTGCATTTTAGTGTCTTTGGTATCATTTTGCTTGGGTGAATAAATAGACAGGCAGGACACTGTTTTCTTTAGGTTATTTATAAAAACAGCCAGCCAGTCTCATGTTAGCCCTGGAAACAGCAGATCCTTTCCTCAGTAGCAGTACTGGTCAATGAAGATTTGCTGTTGGATTCTGAGTGCAGAATTTCTTGTAATTACGTAAAATCAGTGTGGAAGTTAAGGCACTGCTGGCGGATTTTTTGGTTTTGGTTTTGGTTTTTTTTGTGTTTTGTTTGGTTGGTTGGTTGTTTTGGGTTGGTTTTTTTGGGGTTTTTTTGTTTGTTTGTTTTTTGGGGGTTTTTTTGGTTGGTTTTTTTTTGTTAGTCTCAGAGCTTAGGTACTGATAATGTTTTATTCATTCCCCTTCAGCTGATTTTTGGCAATAAAAGCATTCTTAAAAAACTTTCCAGAAAGCAGACCTCTTCCCCCCCATGCCATTTTTATTTTGCATTTGAGCAGGCCAGCATGCTGTAAGCACTTCATGCCAAAACTGCATCCATTCCGGGCTTCCATTTACTGTGGGTTTAAAAAAAAAAGACTGAGGCTCTCCCTGTCATCCAGATCTGCATTTTTCCAAAAGGTTGCAAGCTTGTCCATACAATTAACATGCAAAATCCCAGGCAGTCCTATTTCTACCTTGCTAAGTGAAACAAATGCAGTAGCTGTCAAGGACTGTGACCTTTGGCAGTGTGTGCTGTGCCAGTCACTGCTCAGTGACAGGAATTTTATTGCTCTGCCCCTTGGCAGCTGACTCTTACTAATAGCTGCTGTCTTTTGGCTGTGCAGGAAGATTGGTGGAGCAGTGCCCTGTCACCCACTTTATTTTTTCTTATGGTTGTGGCTTAGAAATACAGCTTTAAAGTTTAGAGTCCACTGCAGTGTTCTTCCTTAGTGGTTATTCTGGATAAACCATCTTGTTAAAAGGAAGCTTTGTGATTTTGGTACTGAGAGATCCAGTGAAGCAGAACACTGGGCTCTTTTTTACTGAACATTCTAAACCATGCCTAGCAGTCCTGCTCACTCTTAAGCTGAAATTGAAACATCACGTTGTATGTTTAGCTTTAGATAATAGATCTACAGGTAACTCAGGCCTGAAACTGAGCAGAAGCAGTTTGGCATTGGGTAGAAAGGATTCAGTTTGGTTTTCCCACTGTAAATTCTGGTATCAGGTGTCATGTCTGCTGGTAATCACTATGCAGACTCCCTTTGGCTTCCTTTTTTTGTCCCTCGGTCCTAAAATGCCTTGTAGAGGTCATGGTAAGACAAAAGTTTGGAGGAAGCAGTGTTGCTATTAATGACATTATGAACAGGTGACTTCAAGACTCCAACGTGGCACCCTTCAATAACACTTTACTTATTTAAACCCTCTCAAAGGAATCACAAACCCATCAATCAAGTTGCTGTTGCAGGGAGGACTTGGAGCAGTGTGAATGCTTTTAATATTACCAAGTTAAATTAACTTGGCTACAGCTTTTTACTCACTGCAGAGCACATTGTATTAGTATTCTGATTAGGTACAGATTAGTTTTTTTGATGGAATAATTCGGTTAAGTAGACTATGTCAAACACTGCAGCAAGATTACAGAGGTTCAAAGCACGGCACTTTGCATTTTTAAATATGTAATTCCAGCTGGCATCTGTGGAGCTGGAACAGCATAATGCATTTATGTCAGCATTTGTGTTAGGGAATTTAAAGGAGGCATTTCAACAAGAAAACATAGGTGGTTTGTTGTTCTTTCTTCCTTTTTTAATGGAACTGCTGGTTTTTGAGCTGCACAATGTTTCTGGCCTGCCACATAGCAAACCACCTCCTTGATGGATGTGTTGATACCGTGAGCATAAAAACCCTGGGATGAATGTTTTGGCTGTGTGTGATTTAGAGCTGCCACGGAAGCGTCGCGTTTATCCTGACATTAAATTTCATGAGCTATAACTTGGCACAGAACAACTCAGAGTTGTATTTTTTCCTGCCTGAAACAGGATGATGTTGCTCTGTTTTCTGAGCAGAGCCCTGCCACGAGCCAGGCATTCACCCAGCCCACTGGGGAAACAACTCTGCTCAGCCAGCACCAATAAGCCAGTGTTGACTTTATACACCAAGGTAAGAGCTGTTCATACAATAAAGATGGGCAAGACTGTGTGTTTGTCAGCTCTGATACACAGGAATTACAGATTAAATGGTTAGCCTTTGCCTTTTTCCCCCCCTCCTTCAAAGTAGTGCTCATCATTTTACTTAGTGGGTTTCTGCACACCAGGTTTTGGTGCACAGCCCTGCTCTCATTGTAGCAAGTAAGAATTAGCTATCAACAAATATTTCAGGACAGTTTTGCCTCTGTGACTCTATGGTTCATTTCCTAGTTGAAGATTTGGCCCAGCTGCCAGTGATTCACCCTGAAAATGGAGAACAGACATGAATTGTTACACACAACCTGCCAACCACCAGCATCAACAGTCAAAGCAGGCTCTTCAAAGTGCTCTTGCTTAATTTCAGTGCCACCTATGAGACTGTAAAATTTATCCAATTAGTGCTGGGAGCACGTGAGGGAAAAGTAGATTTTCCTTTACCTTCTTTTTTTTGCTTTATTGGCAGCTGATAAAACATGGGTAGGATTCCTAGGCATGTTTAGAAAACAGATGAGATGAGCAGGCAGGGTCATTTGTGGACTGTCACATTCCATGAATGGTTTTCAATTATTACCTGCAGAGTTCTGCAGTTTTATAAAGGATGGTACGGGGCGGGGGGTTATACTGAATTTATGTGGTTTTTGCAGCTTTCAAGAGAATAACTACAAATGCAAAGCGCTGAGAGTGCTGACATCAGTGTGGTGGTTTTAGATAAGATTAAAATAATTTCCTCCTCCTGCTTGGTGTTTTTTCATTCCATCTCTAACCATACAGGAGTGTTTAAACTGTGTGACAAATGCATAGGTTAAAAATAATAGGTCAGCATCCATTTAATAATCAGAATTATACTTTAAAGTTGCAGCTTTCTCTTCCCCTGCCCAGTTCAGCCTCAACTCATTTGTAATTCAAATGGGGTAAGATAAGGATTAATACTCTTACTTTTGGGTTAATAATTGGAAAAAAATCCTCTTTGTGTCTTACAATTCCTAACTAGTAAGGCACTGTGTGAAATCAAATTTTCTAGTAGCAGATTTCCAGCAGTTCTCTGAAATGGCCCTTTGTTGAAGGTTCTTTTTAGCATTATTCTAAATGTTTACTGCTAACTTTAAATGTTCAGTGGCAATTGCAAAGAAAAGTGCAGTCTATAAAAAAAAATCTAATCTACACTATCTTATGCTAATTTGACCTCTTGTTTGCTTCCTTCTTATTTTTAGTAAGGAGAAAAGAGGAGGAGAAAGCAGAAGGCAGTTATGACTTCTGAATAAACTGATAGAAACTACCAAATGGGTTTCCCTTGTTTCCCCTTTTCTGCATTTGCTTACATAAATCTACTTCTAGAAAATATTTCACTGTTTGTTAAAATAATTCAGTTTTGACTTTGAACCAGTACCACCTAGTGCTTAAGCTTCCCATAGGAGTAAAACCATGTTTGTTTCCCAAAATTTAACCTCCTTTGCCAGATGCATTTGTGTGCCTGGTATGTTGGGAAGTTCTCCACAGGCCTGGAGGAGCCAAGTGTGTCCTGTTTTAACTGGAAGGAGCCTGGTGTGTTAGAAAATTGATGTTAGACCAGTCCCTCCAAAAGCAACCAGGACTATGAAGAACACAGCACTTCAGTGTCCTGCATAGGTTTTCAGAGCATAAGGACTTGTCCATGTGGGAAAGGCAGTTTAGATTAGATCTAAATAAAAGTAGAGGTTTTAATCCGAAGGAATTAACGTGCAGGTTCAGATTAATTTATTTAAACAAGCTCTATGAAGACTTTTCAGTGGGAGAAGGAGAAGAAGGTCTGTTCCAGCTATGGAAGGTGTTTTGGGGCAGAGGGACAGAGAGATCATGTTCGCCTCCATATACTTTGCCATGTGAATTATGGGCTAAATTCTGCTATTGCAAACATTGGAGCAATGCCTTCATGAGAGTTACTTCTTCAGTTACAGCCTGGGTGGTCAGCAGAACTCAGATGGGGGAGTTTTAAAAAATGTGAGGGTTTTTTGACTTCATCACAGGTCAAAACACTGCAGCTGTTTGCCAATTCTCCACGCTGCAGGTTACTCTCCTTCCAGCTCTGCAGTTTGGAGGATCCTGCTTAAATTCTTCCAGGCAAAGCTACCCAATCTTAAATTGCCTTCTTTTCTGATTTGAACTGAGCTGTGTGTCTTGATCTGAGACAGGCTGGAAGTTACTCGTGTGGCTTTCTCATTCCTCTTTTAGCAGGAATGGCACCTGCATCTGTCATAATTTGGTGATGACAGTACTTTGAATACTCATTGCTGACCAAAATGAGGGGTCTCTGCAAGACCTTTCAGATCATTCCTTTGGATCAGATTTTAGAAGACTATTCATTTCCTCCATGAGAAATGGAATAGCAAATGTAAAATAATTAAATTCAGTGGCTGGATAGTTTGTTGGGGTTTTTTCTTTCATCCATATTGCACTGCTAAGTAATGTTTTAGAACTTCCTAAGACAGGGTGCTTGGTGCAGGGAAGGGAACCTGAATTTACAGTAATGAATGCTCCTGTCTGTGTGTGTTACTTCATAGTACAAACAACTTTTGTGTTTTACTGCATGGTTTAAACTACTTTGAATGTTTTCATTTAGAAACCATGCCCTCTGTGTGATGAAGCAAAAGAAGTTCTTGAGCCATACAAGAGAAGGGTAATGTATGGAAATTCTGTATATGTTTTCTATATGGAAAGAACAGTTAATCAGGATTCTTCCTTTGTAAAAAGAAAATTGCTTGGATTTATTTGCATCTGTTATTCTTTCATGGATGACCTCTTCAAGACAATTTCAGCGCTGATTTACATAAAACTCATTATCCAAAAGCATTTTGTGATAATGCTACTCAAATAAGTACTGGCAAACTAAACCAATATAGACCATGTTGCAGTAGTTCTTGAAAACACTCCTTCTGTAAATACTTTTGCCTTGTCTGAAGGAGGAGTTTGCAACTTTTATGAGCCAGGATGTAATTTGAGAAGGATGTGACTAAGTGGGGCTTTGAATATTCGAAATATGTGACTGCAATTTTTGCCGTTTTTCAACCGGGTTTTGATCTCTCTGTTGAAGGATGAAACGTTTATTGGATGCATTGAGAGCTGTTGCACTCTGCTGCCTGTTTTATTCCCAGCTATGTGTTTGTTGAGGTTGCTGCCCACAGGAGAATGGTTCTGCACAGTGGAGCAAGAATATTCTGGGCTAGGGAGAGAGTCCCTTGTGGAGAGGCAGCCAAGGGTTGTGGCTATATAAATTTTGTACTCAAAAAAGCAGGCCTTTATCTACAACACAAAGAATAACCCTACAAGCTTCAAGAAAACAGCTTTGCATTTCTGAAGAAAACACTGATCAGAAGACAAGCAGGTATTGTTTTTTAGTGTCCAGTAGAAACTGACATATTTCTTCTCTGCCACAGTTTATTCTGCAGGAGGTGGATATTACCCTTCCAGAGAACTCAGCGTGGTATGATAAATACAAATATGACATACCTGTTTTTCACTTAAATGGGAAGTTCCTAATGAAGCATCGTGTCGACATTCAAAAATTTGAGGAACAACTTAGGAACCTGGAATTGCAAAATGAGAGAAACCAGTGAAGAAAATGCAGCTGCTCTGAGGCAGATCTCAAAGGTGAAAAGAACTGTTTGAAAATAACCCCATATTCGTTATGTGACCTTAAATTTCTTAGGACATATGATTCTGAAAAACTGGAGTGACTTGTGTTCTGCTTTGTGTTAACCACCCAGCCCAGCTGCACCAGGGGCTGCCTTTTCTGTGCTGCTCATTTGCTGCTCTCGTGGGCTGGTGTGTTCACTGACAGAATAAAAGCTGCTCCATAACAGCAGATAAAGTAAACTCTGTTAGTATGGGGTTGGCATGGCCAGGTTTGGGTAGTGGGGGGTGGTTTCTCTGAGAAGCTGCTGGAAGCTTCCCCTGTGTCCAGCTGAGCCAGGTAGCTCCAGGATGGATCCTCTGGCCACATCCTCAATGATGAGGAAGGAAGAAGGAGAGAATGTTTAATAAAATGACTGCAAACTCCATTCTCCATCTCCCTGAGGGGAAGGAGGAAGAGAAAATTGAGAGCGAAGTTAAGCCTTGGAAGAAGGGAAGGGTGTTAAAGGTTTAGTTTCCTTTGTCTTTATCCTACTGTGATTTGATTGGTAATAAACTAATTTCCCTAAGTCTCTGCTGCCTGTGACAGTGATCAGTGACTGATCTCTCTGTGTTCTCATCTCAACCCACGAGCCTTTTATTGTATTTTCCCTCCTCTGCCCAGCTGGTGAAGGGACTTGGCTTTTGTGGGTGTGTGGCATCCAGCCAGGATCAGTGTTTAAAAGATGATTAGCACATGTAGACGTAGATTAGACTGTAGATGTGTAGAATTCCTTGAAGAAGTCTAGGAGCCTATCCTAAATGATAATTCAAAATAGAAAATAGAGCATTTACTGTTAAATTAGAAGGACACTTGATTAAAGACCACACACTCTCAGTGGAATTGTCATCATCACAATTTGATACAGTTATTGCTAACACCTAACGCTGAACAGTTTATTTTTCACATTTCAGTTCTGTCTTCCACACAGCTGCAAATCCGTTTATCATGTGACAAAAATGCCATTTTTTTCAAGGATTGCTGCAGTTAGATTAGTTACATTAGTTACATAGGCAATGCAGGCCTGTGAAGGAGACAGAATGCCCAAGTTAAACATATTTTCAGGAAGAAGAGAATGACAGATTCAGGAAAAGACAACCATTTCAGCTTAAATAATCTGTAACAGACTGGAGAAAGATGCTGGTATTTTTGATGTATTTAATAGATTCTTTAACACAGAAACTAATCCCTACCTGCTGCATTTTCATTCTTCTTATCATGGTGATACTCACTCTTTTCTCCTTACTAGGAATTTAAGCAGGCTCACTTGACAGATGTGTCTTCACAGAGGGAAGAATCCAGATGCAATGCCTGGCTGGAACACCAAACTGAAATAAAGCAGGCTTCAAGAAAGACAAGTCTTAAGTTTTGGAGAATGGTTTAATAAGTCAGCTGATCTGCTGTGGTGAAAATGGACTGCTCCTTCATGGCCTTGTCCTGCAGTGTCTTTAGCATTTGACAAATAATTTGCAATCTAGTTTTGATGTATACCCCAATATGAAAAATTTCTGGGGAGGAGGGAATCAGAAATTAAAACTTCCAGCTTAGCAGCTTTACTCCACTCAGGTTCTGAAACTATCCAAGAATTCCCAGGAGGGAGACCTGTGCCATTTTTTTAGCAGAGAACTTGAGGTAAGATCAGCCAGATCATGGATCCACAATGTTTTTCATCACCATTAGCAGAAGAACAGAGACAAACATTTCTATGCTTTCTGCAGTTCATAATGCTACAGTCAAAGTTCTAACTGTTCCACGGGTTACTGTTAAATAAAAGATCTGAATTATCTCTCTATCAGCAAGTGCCAGTTGCCTTTCTTCTATGATTTGAGATGGTTTCAGAGGGCCCAGGTTTTTTCCTTACTGAGGTTTTGTGATAAGAGAACTGCATAGAGCACTTGTCAACCATAGCTCAAGTGCTCTTCTAAAGTGTAACAGCATTATCTCAAAGATAGGGACAACAGAGGTCATGTGGACTTGCCCCATTTCCGAAAATACATAACTGGCAGAGACTGGCAGAACTCTCAGGGAGGTTTTTGCCTTTGTTTTATTTTAGTAAGGTCTGTTTTGGCAAGGAGAAAAAGGAAGCTAAAACCAAACTTCTTAATAATTTTAGAGCTGATTAATCCCTTGTTCCTTTTTCTGTCAGACTGGATATTTTCCTCTGTAGCCACTGTCACATACTTTTTCCCCCACTTATTTTTTAAAGTGAATGATAACAGGATTTCCTTAATTTTTGTCCATTTTGTTGCTTTTGTGAGTGAGATTGTGCTTTTCCATTAGGGCTGTGCTGCTGAAAACCTTCCAGTGGCTTTACTGTTCTGCACTTTTAAGAGAGTGGAAACCTTCTTCTCATCAGTTTGGACACAGGGACAGGAGGTGGGAATGTGTCAGTATGGAGTGTTGGTGACACAGCCTCACCTTCATTTTCCAAATGCAAGAAAGGATGCATCCTATATAAATTTGAGGGGTTTATTTCCCTTCTTGAATGTAAGAAATGCATCAGACTCCCAGCACATGCATCTCTCTAATCAAATGTGTTGAAGTATAACACAGATATTAAAATGAGAAGGTATATGCGCCTGCTGAATATATATTTATGGAGCAATATGCAACTTTATGAAAACTGGCAATTTACTTTTTTGACAGTGAATATTGGCAGGAGTGCAAAAGTTTGTAATGCACTATTTCTGTAGTAAAAGGAGAATGAATACAAAATGGATTTACTTCCTATTTCTGGCCAATTAAAAAGCACATAGACAATGTCCCATCTTCTTCCACTAACTACAAAAAACAGATACCCACTGGGCTTACTTTCTTCTGTGTTCTGCTTCTCTCTTTCTTTGTGTCTTTAAATTGTACACGAGACATGGAAGAAAATGTCTCATTTCTTTTAGGCACAGCACTCCAGTCACAGTGTCTTCCTGTCCAAACTGGCCTGTGGTACATAATCTCAGATTCAGCTGTAATCACATAGCCATCTGGATTAACTACACGTGGAACTAAACAAAGCCCCATGTGCAAGTGTTTACAAGATCACTTTTTTTGGTGGTGGTTTTTTTTTTTTTTTTGGGGGGGGGGTGTTTTTGTTTGTTTGTTTTATTTCAGTGGCAATATCACTTTCCAAGCAGTTTTGCTTTATAGTCTATCAATAACATCTCTCTTCTTTTCCATCATAACCTGCTGGCAAGAAGGCTCCATCCCATTCTTGTGAAACTGCTTTGCCTCATAGACCCAAACCTAAGTTTTTGAAAACTATGACTGGAACTGTGAGAACAGAACAGTTTCCAGTTAGGGACCTCCATCTGAATAATGGCTTGAGCTGCTTTGGCAAAAAAAAAAAAAAAAAAAAAAAACAAAACCAAAAAAACATGGGAAGAGAAACAAAACCATTCTTTGTCCTCTATCTTCACCTCTTGTAGCATTTCAGATCAAATTCTGATTCTTGGTCTGGATCTTCCAGAGATAAATTACATATGACCAGGTTATCCAAAGGGTAAAATGAGTTCCTGCAGGAATACTCCCAGCTGTCTTGTCCATGAAATGAACTACAGGGACTGAAGGCAGACCTTCCTCATTTTCCCTCAGTGCTGCCTTCTGGGGCACATATGGCTGATCACGAGGATAAAAACTAAATCCCTCCCAGTCATACCCAAATCTCAGTGACATGAGACAAAACTACATCCACTCCCTTCTCCTGGGGAGAAGGCTAAAGAGCAATGGTGTGACATGGATTACTGGCATGTACCTAGACATGAGGTCAGGGTGTGCAAAATTCAGGGTCTTGCTACAGGGCAGGTAGTTTTAGCCTGCCACAAAAAGAAATGAGACTTGGGCCATGTAATCATGAGTCAGTCCAATCCTTTCCTTTCCTTTCTCCCCTTCCTGGGTCCTTCCCAGCAATATTTAACTCAGGGACCTATTCAATAAGGTGATACAGCTGGGTTTTTTTTTTTTTTCCTTTTCTTTGGGTTTTGGTGCTGATTTTATTTGTTTGGTTGGTTTTGGGGTTTTGGTGGGTTTTTTGGGGGGGTTTTCTGGTTTATTTTTATTTTTAAGTGTTCTGGTTTTTTGTTGTTTTGGTTTTAGATTTTGATTTTTGTTTTGTTTTCAGTTGGATTGTTTTCCTTACTATGACATTCCCTGAACATTCCCTGGACATCTGCTTCCAAAAGGTGGCACATATCTCTCCATTCAGTGGAGAAAAGCATGGTGAATCAAACCACATTGATACACGCAGGTTTGATTTATACACCACACACCAATTCAGGCTTCTTCTCCAGTAGGTGAGACATCCATTGCTACAAGATCTCCAAGGTGCCAGGAGCTGAAGCTGCAGATCTGTTTGCAAGGCTGGGATCCAAGCAACTTCATTGATGTCCCCACTGCATGGAACACATAAATTCCTGCTTAATTTACCTTATCTGCCTCCTGCTAAGGTGTGCTGAGTGACTTGGGCCTGCCAGGCTCTCTCTTTTTATTTTAATACACACAGGTATCACCTGTGTGCTGTTTCCATGCCCACCTGGAAGTGCAGCTGTGCTGCTGGGGGTGAACATGCAGGTGCAAATATAGGTGGGCATTTTTCTTGTGCTTCATTGGAAGGAAAGCAAACCAAGGGCAGCTCCTCCCTGCCCCTGCGATTTGCCTTCTAGTAAAATTTTAGTACATCTTGCTGCTTTAACAGGGCAGCTGTATTCAGGGAACACAACAATTTTAGGAAACACCATCTCAGCCCTGCAACAGTACTTTACTTCCGAACAAAGCAAGCGTGACAGAGGCAGTGAAATGGAGAACTGTGGCTGGGCAAGATAAAATATCAGCCTAGGGGTTTGTCTTTTGGAACTTGGGGCTGTCGTTTTTGATGCAGCTTCAACTGAGTCTCAGCAACTCCGGCGCCTTCACCGACCTCAGCCCCGCAGCAGCTCTGGGAAAGCTCCTTCCCTCTCGCGCTGTGGCTCTGCTGAGGTTTTTAACTCCCGTGTCACAAGAAAAGGATGAAATTCCTTGATTCCAGGCTGGCAAGGAGCTGTCGCTCCCCGGGCGCTCCTTTGTGTCGCTGCTGCTCCGCGGGTACCGCCGGGGGAGGAGGAGGAGGAGGAGGAGGAAGAGGAGGAGGGGTTGATGGAGCGAGGTCCTGTAGCGACAGCCGAGCCGGAGGCTGCAGCTCCTGCCTCTCTCCCGTGGGTTTGGCAGCTTCATCCGTATTTTTGGAAGGACAGCTGAGGGTCCGGGTGGAGGAGGTGAGTTCCCTGTCGTTCCCCGGGAATTAAAATGCGTGGCTGTCGCGTTTCTGGGCTGGAGGTAAATTGCTGCTTCTTTCTTCTTGTTATTCCTCTTATTGCTTGTGTTATTGTCATCGTCATCAACGTTTTCCAGTAGTTCGGCTGAGGTTTGGTTTTTACTCTTTCATTAGAATAAAAAAACGAAGCAAAACCATTTGAGGAGTAATAATGCCCAGCGTGAAGCGATCGGGCTGGCGGCTCTCAGGCAGAATTACCTTCGGGACTTCGGAGCCGGGGAGGAAAGAAATACAGTTTCTTTCCATTCCAGAGGCTGTGACAAACTGTAGCCATTTCTGGGATTTAGCCTAGAAATTCCAAATCTTTTTTTTTTTTTTTTTTTTTTTTTTTTTTTTTTTTTTTTTTTTTTTTTTTTTTTTTTTTTTTTTTTTTTTTTTTTTTTTTTTTTTTTTNTTTTTTTGCCTTTTTATTTTCTTTAAATTCTTTTTCCTTTTAATTGCCGGGTTATCACAGGGCTCTTTGCAGATATGAGGAGTTGTGAAACTACTCAGTAATGTACCTGCCCGTGTCAGAGGAGTTTAACTTTCAAAGCAAATTAATTGTTTAAACTTGCATTTAACCCTGTGTTGCCCCCTCTGGGGCTGCTGATGGTGCATGTAGCATGTTTACCAAGTAGTGTCTCAACTTTGGACTGCACAGGGCAATCCAACCATTCCCAAGTCTTCAAACCAGTGAAAGCAGAGCGTGTTTGCCTATTAGAGATTGATTGTTTTGGCAAGGATGTTTACAGGCCAGCCAAGGTCCATTGGAATAAGTAGGAAAACTCTCACTGATGGTGACTCATGTCCGTGGGCTTTGGACCAGAGCAGGGTGTTGGAAATGTGCTTTGCCAAGTGGAACTCGGTAGGTAACCCTCCCACAGCCCCCTTGGCTTGTAAAGGGAGTGGGATGAGGTGCAGAGTGGTGTCAGACAGAAACTTGTGTGTTTGTGGCCGCTTTAAATACATTTGCTAATTGCACGTGTGTTCCTTGGGGTTTAACATGTCATTGATCTTTTAATTCATTGCCAATGGCTTAGTCTGCTGCTGTTTGTGAGGCTGATGAGGCAAATTGCAGCCTTTCTGCAGTAATTATTATTGTGGTGGCATCTTGGGGTGTGCAGTGTCTGCTCAGAAACTTCCAGGTGTGGGGTGCTTGTGAGTGAGGTTTCAGACTCACCTGGGAAGACACAGATTTCCAGATTTCCCAGTCAGATTTCCCAGTCAGAAGGGACTTTTTCTAATGCCTTCTCTGATCTCTTGCTTATCACAGGCCACACAGGATTCACAAATAAATTCTACATCAAGCCCACGACTTCTGTGAGGTCTCCACTTGCCCCCATGGACAGGCTCCATCCACAGCAGGGCTTCAAGCACGTTTGAGACACTGCCTGGTGGCTCCCAGGCTTGAGCTCTGAAAGAGTGAGTAATATCTTCCATTTTAAATGGCTGTAATTAGGCTGGGAGCTATTTTGATCTATCAAAATATGGTTTTGCAAATAATGCCTATTAAA